TCAGCCTCTCTGCTCCTATGATGCTGCTTGGCCTGCTGTGTTCATCCAGCCCTGCACCTTGTTGTCTCGGATTCTCCAGCATCTGCAGTTCCTACTATCTCAGGTCACTTGTCGGAGTTGTGTACAAGAGTCCCTAACAGTAACCATATAGTAGGACAGGGTATCAATGAAGAAATAATTGGAGCTTGTCATAAGGGTGCAACATTGATCACTATCATTATAAATTCCTTTTAATTTTATACTGCTTAACTTCTTTGGTTATCCCTGTTTGGTTTATCTCTCTCTTAGAACCTTATCTCCTTACTGGAATATATTTTTGCTGAGAGCCATGATTTCCTCCCTGCATGTCTGCCACAGATTGATTACTGCTCTTTCCTGCTAATCTATCCATACAGTCCATTTTAGCTAACTCTATCTCATTTCATTCTCATTCTCTTTAGGTAAAACACTCTTGTTTCTGACCCAAGTTTCTCACTGTCAATAGTAAATTTTTTTCATGTTCTGAACACTACTTTCTCGGGAATCTTTTACTCTAGGGTCATTTATTAAACCTGCCTCATTCCCCATTACCAGGTCCAAGATCTGCTCCCTGGTTGACTCCATGTGTCTCCTGTCTTTGTTGTTGTAGATAGTAGAGACTATGAGGTTTAGAAGATGCTGTTGAAAGAACCCTGGGGAGTTTCTGCAATGCATCTTGTAGATTGTACACATTCTTGCCACTGTGTATTGGTTTTGGAGAGAATGAACAAGTATGTTCATGAATGGAGAACTGATCGAGTGGGTTGTTTTGTCTTGGATGGTGTTTACCTTTTTTTGACTGTTGTTGAAGCCACACCCATCATAATGAGTCATGGGTATTTGATTACCTCCTTTCATGTTCCTGCTAGGTGGGTAGGCTTTGGGAGTCAGTAACTGAGAATAGAAGAAATCGCAACTCACTTGAGAGTTCCTATTTCCCTTCTCTTGTTAACCACACTGTGATCGAGTTGAGTTTCTATTTAATAGGAGCAACCAGGATGTTATTCGGGGATTGCAATCCAGGGGAGTTTGTTAGAGATAGTCTGACTGGAACTTGCTTAATTTAAATATTAATTGTCATTTACCAGCCAAAGCCTGTTTCTTACTGTATGCCAGCATGGATAGTCTCAATATTAAAAAAAAACTCATTCATTGATGTGGATGTCACTGTCTAGGCCAACATTTATTGCGCATTCTCAACTGCAGTTACAAGTCAACCATGTTGCTGTGGGACTGGAATCAGACTTGATGAGAACTGCAATTTTTTTCCCTAAAGCACAACAGTGAACCCTTGATGATTGGGTTTTCTTGACCATCGTTTCATGATCTTTGAAGTAAAATTGCACCATCAGCTCAGGGTCTGTTTTTCCTTCATTAACAGTCTGCTTATCAAGGAGAAAAGAGTCATTTTTTTTGTGCCTTCCATTTCCTGCTCTCAGACGTCTATCCTCTGTGGTATGCGGTCTTAGTAATTTGGATAAGCTGCCTTCATCCTTTGCGTCTTTGCTATCTCTTATAATACTCACCCTTCAACAGTTTCTTGTTATCCTGGATATGTGGTAAAACTGCATATATGTAATTGAGTCACAAATCAGTTGTGATTCCACTGAATTTTACAGTATTTTAGGAAATGTTTGATAATGTAGCTCACAGGAAGATTCAACAATTTGTTGTAAGAATTGTAACAGCCTAGATAGAAACTTGATAATATGTTTTGTTTTGTCTGTTTCTGTTCTCAGATCCAAACTCCGCAATAATTGATTTCCTGACAAAGTGAGATGATTACAAACTGTTCCAGTTGACAAAATTCTACCAAGATAGACTTGAACAAGCAATTGAAGAGGGGGTAAAAGGCCTTGGACTAATGTTAACAGGTGCTGACCAATTCACTGGACAAGAATATCATGTAAGTGGAAAGCAGTTCTCAAATTACATTGGCTGTGGGCTAAATCGCCCAAGAGGATTCAATCACTGGAGTGACCAACCAAAAATAGTTGCCCCTGTAAATGGAATTAAACAAAGCAGTGAGAGGAAGTTCCTCCAACCACAGATTTGTGTTCTTCCATGTTTGTTGCTGATCGGTACACTAGTGAAACATCCTAATGGAAAGATCAAAAATTGGCCATTTGTCCCATTGACCCTACTTTGCCACTCAATATAATTATGGCTGATCCTTTATCTCAGTACAAAAAAGGCCCTTCAGCACATTGCATCCACACTGGTCAGAAACAACCACCAAGTATTCTAATCCCATTTTCCAGCACTTGGTCCGTAGCCTTGTATGCCTTGGCATTGCAAGTACACATCTAACTACTACTTAAATGTTGTGATGGTTTCTGCCTCTACTGACCTTACAGGCAGTGAGTTCCAGATTCTCACCACCATCTAGATGAAAAAGTTTTTCCTCACATCCTATCAAAATCTTCTGCCCCTTACATTAAATCTACGCCGGCTGGTCATAGATCCCTCCACCAAGGGAAAATGTTTCTTATACTCTGTCCTATCTATGCCCCTTATAATCTCATGTCCACCCTCAATCTCCTCTGCTCTAAGGGAGACAAACACAAGCTATCCAATCTCTGTTCATAATGGAAACTCTCCAACTCGAACTCTAACAACTTCCTAGAAAATCTCCTTTGCATCTCTTTCATCCTTCCTATAATGTGGATTCCAGAATGACACATAATGCACTGGATGTGGCCTAACCACCATTTTATACAGTTTCAGCATAACCTCCCAGTCTCTCACGATATTCCTTGATGTCTTCAGTTGCCTTGCTGCAAAATGTATTCAGTGACCTTAGCCTTCATAGTTGCATATGGTGAGGAGTTCTAAATGTTCACTATTCTCAGTGAACACATTTCTCATCAGTTCTAAATGGCCTGTCCTGTATCCTGAGACCATGACCCCTTGCTTTCTACCCTGTCAGGCCTGTCAGAATTTTGTATGTTTCAATAAAATCCCCTTCATTCTTCTGAACTCTAGTGAGTACAGACCTAGTTGACTTAATCATCCTTTTCTTGGGTAACATACCAAAACTGTGCACTCTGTTCCATGTGTCATCTCATAAGGGTCCTGTACAGCTGCAGTAAAATTTATTTGTTCCCATACTCAAACTCTCTTACATTGGAAACCAAAACAGTGACAGGAAGCCTTTCTAACTGCTTGCTGCACCTTCATCCTTGTTTCCAGCGACTGGTCTACAAGGGCCAGGTACTTTTGTACATCAACATTTTTCAGTTAATCACAATTGAAATAATACTTTGCCAGTCTGTTTCTTACTGAAGTGGAGAACTTTACACTTACCTATGTTATACTGCATTTGCAATGTATTTGCCCATTCATTCAACTTGAACCCTCTTAACTTCCTTCTCACCATTGTCAATTCCTCTTTGTTTAGTATATCAGCAAACTTGGAAATATCGGGTTTAATTTCCTCATCCAAATCATTGATATAGATTGAGTTGCTGATCCCTGTTGTAGCCCGTTTGTCACAACATTTCACTCTGAAATAGATTCATTTATTCTTGCTCTCTGCTTCCTGTCTGCTAGCCAATTCTCAGTCTTTGCCATATTACCACCAACAGCTCCATGTGCTTTGAAATTTTTTTATTCATTTTTGTGGGATGTGGGCATCATTGGCTGGCCATCATTTATTGTCTGTCCCTAGTTGCCCTTGAGAAGGTGGTGGTGAGCTGCCTTCTTGAACCACTGCAGTCCACCTGCTGTGGGTTGACCCACTGCCATTAGGGGGAGAATTCCAGGATTTTGACCCAGTGACAGTGAAGGAATGGTGATATTATTTCCAAGTCAGGATGGTGAGTGGGTTGGAGGTGAACTTGAAGGTAGAGGTGATCCCATATATCTGCTGCCCTTGTCCTT